GTATGGCGGATAACATAAGATATAGCCAGATTAGATTTGTAAGAACATATATACATATATACATATATATATATATATATATTAGCCTCAGATTGTGTGATAAAAGTGGCTATGTGGGGTACTGAAATATTGCGACGCACGCATACTGTTGAGGGGGCCAATCTTATATTCCCGCATGCAAACGTTTTCTCTTTAATGTACAGAGCATGCACGTTTCCACAAGCAGAAAAAGAAAAGCAGGAAAGGGATGGATACAAAATTAGACAACGAGAGAGTTAAAAGGTTAATTTTCTATTATTGTTCTTCCTTTAGCAGCAAAGTGCTGAAGTTAACCTTTAAAAAGGGTCTTTTTCTAATCAAGGAGCTTCAAGTTTATCTGCTGGCCACTTGCTGTTGTGCCCTTGATTTGAATATTTTACATTTACTCGCATATAATATTTCTGGAGAGAGAAAGAGAAAAGAAATGAACATTAAATGGTGTAAAGATGAAATGTCCTTTCTAATTCCACACATAATTACATTATGTTTTCTCGTTCTCTCATCAGATTCTCGAGCCCCTTTATTAATTTTCTTGCAGCAAGTGTGGCACACATCTACAGTGACCTTCACCTTCCTATTTCTGCATATAAGGGTAAGAGATCTTTTTTATGGGGGAGAATGATGTCTTCGCACATGGATAGAAATGAGTGAGCTGAGATTTAAATCTGGTTTATACTAATGGTAATGAATCTGACATAGACAGATACTAACATGCACTGATCTGTTCCAACGAGCGTGGTCCTACATATATTAATGCCACTTATATGTACATATATTATCCTCTCTCCCTATGGCTAGTTTGATCCATAGGAATCAAAGAAGACCTTTAAGTTAATGATGGCCCCAGCTTATGGCTGGCAGAATAACAGGTTTTACTTAGGAGAATCTGCATAAGTACAGCTTTGGCCGCTTAATCAGGAAATCTCAAGTTTGTGTGAATATAGAAAACATCTTTGGGAGATCAGACTTACTCTCAATTGAACCTGACAATGCTCACATAGACATATGAAAAAAATACTAATACACATGGGCCATGGTGTATCCAAGCTTAACAGGTATTGAGCAGAAGATTATGAAACTTGGGTGGAATGTATCTAAGAGGAGGCCAGGTGGGTGGCCTAGTGAGGGGGACCACTTGCAGTAAAGTGTCTTTATACTATCTTTGTTTTTTGGTCATTACAAAGTGTCTTTTATGTGTAAAAATGAGCTTTACGGTTTCATATGGACCACCATTACCAATCACATGTTGCGTAGCGTGGGTGACACTGAAACTGAAATATTTCACTGCGATTCCGCCACTAATGGGGAAAAAATGGGACCTTTAAATTTACCTGAAAAAGTGGCCCCACAGTCGCACGCCAACGTTTGTTTTTGTTTTGTCTGTGGCAACCAAAATTTGGCGTCAAAGACAACTCTGTCGCCTCCAAAATTCAAACTCTCACTGTTTCCTTTGAGTCGCTCACTAACCACAAACAGCACAAAATATGGAACCCAAGGTCAACGCAAATAAATGCAGGAAGGATAATTCACAGAGCTTTATGTATTGTATAGACACGCGCGCTCACACACATGTACATATTATAGTCACCGAGATTATCAGACTGACGTCTGAGATTTGTGAAACACTGAAACTTATGCAGACACATAGGTTTTCAGACGGAAACCCCTTGAAGAATTTAGGTTAAAGGAAATCTCTCTGATATGAAACTAGAGGCCAAGGAGTGTTGCCATTGATTTTCCAGACCAAATGAAAGGTCAATCGAATTAACTTTTCGACGATAAGGGAAATAACTTGACTTGCAGCACTACAAGAAGGTTCCTAGCAAAGAAAACAAATTACGTATGGTATTGGTTTCCAACATCCGAGTAAAGATTCACTCGAGTTATATTTTAGCTGTTGACTATGCAATATTGTCACCTGTCATAAAAGTGCAAAGAGGAAAACCTGTGAAAGAGATGAAAGTCCAGAACTTAGGAATTCATGCCTACTGGCTTGCCACTTTCAGAGATTCATTCACTGAACAAAGAATGTACAATGATTCTGACCACCTGGGATTGCCTGTATATATCTGAAGTTAAGACAGAAACGGGGTGAGTTCATTTTCGTTCTTTTCTTGCCACTCGTTTAAATAGAAGAAAAAAAGCTTGGTAGTGTAAGGAAAAGAATTTGACAAACTATTATATTAAGCTTATTGCACCTAGATATAATAATTGCTCATTTCTGAGCCAATGCCATAAAAATGTTCTTCCTGTCAGAGGGGATCGAGCTAAGTAAAAGCATGACAAAGAATGATCATTTGTACTTTACAGCAGTCAAAATTACCAATTATGCTCATTGTCTGCCACGCAAGACCATGGATATGGACATACGTGTAATTGCACAAATGCTTCCATAGTTTACTGGTCCGACGACAAAAAAGGATCATCGAACTTCTCAGTGGAGAGCAAACCATAAAAACCTTTGCCTGAGACGATACTTAAATATTAATCTGCAAAAGCATGGTCAGTAAGGCACCATTTGTTGATTTAAGCTGCTAAAAGCCTTTTCTGCATTCCATTTAGTTCTTTTGCACAAAGAATTCTGTTAAGTTTGGGCATGAGTGCCTACCTTCTCTGGTGGTCCTTCCACCCAGGCAATGCTCTGATTACCAAAAACAAAAGAAGAAGACAATTCAGAGTAGCAGCATGAGAAGGGAAAGCGAGTCCTGTATTAGAGACAAGCAATATTGCAACGGAGAAACGCTGCACAGTTAGCAACTTATATAGCGTTGGAATGAATCAGACAACGCAATGTCTGATAAAGGAAAGTCAGGTCATTTAACTAACATATCCATAAAAAAATATATATATATATATATATATATATAGATATCAAACTACACAATAATAAATAACAGGTAAAATATAAATAAGGCCAAAAAAATCTTATTTTTCTTATCTTATAAATAAGATCAAAAGAGTAGTAGCCCATTCAGTTCACCAAAAATTTCTGCATACGCTGGGACTCGAACTCGAGACCTCATTTAAGCAGTACCAAACCGCTTACCACTTGGACCAACTCCCGTTGGTTATCTTACTAGACTTTTTAAATTTGCTAATCAGACATCAAGTTAAAGATCTGTCACTTTTGGGCCTGTGGAACTGGAAGTGGGAAATTTCATCGGCCCTGTTTCCATTTCCCAGCTTCAATATAATTGAGTTTTTTTTTTTAATAAACATGTTGGATGAGGATTAGTGTTGATTAATAGCCAGGCTAATCAGCAGATTATAACAATTGATGTGAAATAATTGTTTTGGACTCATCCACTTGAACAATTCGTATTAAGAAAAAATTGTTCGATACTTGATATTTTATTGAATGGACTAGTCATTTAATTGCATAAAAACGTAATACACTGGGATACTTGTTTTCAATATTTTGTTCCATTAAAGAATTACGCGGCTTATCAAAAAAGAATTACAGAAAGCCTTAGGATAACATTGCACGGTAATCACTATTAAAATCATGTTTCATATAAAAGAGTGATAAAAAGATGATGAAATTGTTAATGAAGATATTCTCTTAATTTGATAAATAAAAATAACAATATAGTAAAATACTTCTCCAGTCCGAACTCTTCAATGTAAATGCCACTTAACTAATTTGAAAATTTTAAAAATATTAAAAAATTTATATAAATTATATAATTTTAACAAAATTAAATTGATCTCTTTAAAATTCCTCTATATTGTATCAGATTGTGGATCAATTTTTAAGTTAAACAAATTCGTTTAAAAAATTGATAAACAGAAAAAATAAAATAGAATAAAATATTATATTTAGTATTAAAATTAGGGAAAATCCCAGCAAAATCCAGTTAAAATACCTAAATTCATATTAAAGCCTACACTTTTAGTGTATATCTAATTAGGACATGATTCCAATTTATGATTTTTGAATGTTGTTAAAAAATTAAAATGTTTCTCTTTAATTAAAATAAAAAATAATTATTTTACTCCTCCAAGTGACCTCTCACCTCTTATAATTATTTTTAACGCTAAAAAACACATAAAATTTTTCTATATATAACTAAAATCTTCAAAAATATTTTAATAAAATCTTTTAAATTTGAACATAAATAGCCTTAAAATAAATATTTTTTATTTTATGTCTGTAAATAATTATTTTAAGATCTTAAAATATTTTAATTACAAAAAATATTTAATATTATATTCTTATAATTTAAGTTAGTTTTATTTATTTAAAAAAATATTGGATTCCAACCCAAAAACGTAATTTGCAACAACTTAATATAAAATATTTCTTGTAATTAAGATATTTTAAAATTTTACATATAAGAATTTACAAATTGAAAATACAAAATATTTATTTAAAGGGTACTTATATCATAATTTAAAATGTTTGATTAAAATATTTTTAAAGGTTTTAGTTACATATACAAATTTTACACATTATAAAATTACTTATATGTTTTTTTGCCCAAAAAAATAACTACAAGAGAAAAAAGTAATTATTAGGGAGGGGTAAAACAATCAATTTTTTTAACTAAATAAAGGCATTCTGGTAATTTAATAATATTAAAAAATTTCTAATGAGGCCTCATGACCTAACTAGAAATTTGTTAAAAATGTATGTCTGAATTTAAATTTAGGCATTTTAATTAGATTTAATTAGAATTTTTTTCTTAAAATTAAGAATGATATAGTATAATAAATAGGTAAAATAAACTATTTTTAAAAAAAATGCGTTACATTGGAATAGGACGAGTGAATTAGATGCAATTATGAAAAGAATTGCTCACCAGGGACCTTCTGAATGCTGAGAATCACAGAAAAGATGATAAGCAAGAGAACATGTTACCGTCGTCCTCGGCTTATCCCTTTCCTTACTCCTCATGAGGCCTAGTTTTCTCGAAAGCAACATGACCCAGTGAACATCATGCTTCCTCTTGGAATACGCCATGAAGAAAGACCCAGAGCTTGATCAGCTCCATCACCACAACCAGCAGCAGCGAGACTTGGAAATCCTCAAAGCCGTCGCTCAGGCTATTTACAATCATTCCGGCAATTCTAGGCCCATCAGTGAATTCGACGCTCATCCTCGGAATTTCAAGTGCAAGCCTTCAAGATTTCAACCCCAGTCGGTGACCACCAAATCTTCGACTATCGAGGAACCCGGCGTTGCTCCCACCTGGGATTTCAATCAGTCGCTTTGGGACTCATACGAGCTCGTCACTGTCTCCCGAAGGTTAGAGACAGGCTTAAGTCTGGATACCGATGACCCCTTTTCTGTCTCGAGTTTGAGTGGATTCCTTAGGAGGCGTAGGCAGGAGAGTAACAATAGCCTTAGGAATCTGTTCAATCAAATGTCTTCTCGGAGATTTAATGAGAACCAAGTTCCACGCCAAAATAATAGTTAAAGTTTTATCTCTGACAATTTTTCTTCTTCTTTAGTTTGTACATTTCATAGGGGGGAAAAATCAAGCTCTTCCATTATTCGGGAAAAACCAATGAAGAATCTGTAAAAAAATCTTCAGCCTATTCTTCATTGTATTGTACTTTCAAAACGTTGCAGCGTCAAAGTTTGTTATTCTTACATCAACATTATGACTTTTGCCAATCCAAATCCTCTGTCTTTTAATGGATGGTGATTGTTTCTGCACATGGTTTTGCCTTTTCAATTTGGTATTTGAAAATACTCTCACATGCGTATGGCGACTTGTCCGTTGGAAATTAACCGTCCAGCATATAGAATTGGAGCCTTGCTGATTTGGTCAGATATTAAGTGATAATCAGGATTTAAACTGAGCATATCCTAAATTATGCTTGCTTCAGTTTTCATCACTAGAACATCAATCTTCAGAGTTGATGGTCATGTGGTTCATATAAAGAGCGCGCGCGCACACGTGGAGGTGAATCCTGAAGGTGAGTTCTGATTGGAATTATATATGCTAGATGAATAACACGCTTGAAAACTATAAAAGTACAGCATATCTGCTTTCATTCTTTCATATTAGTAAGTAACACCCCATAAGTAGGAGAGTACAGTACAATAACAACAGTAGGGTAAGGTAGGCAGGCATTTTATTCATACAAGCAGCCATTTAGCAATGGTGAGGGATTTATTAATGATATATGACCTGCCTAGCAAATTACTGGTTCATGTTGTGTGTGGAGATCGATGGTGGTGAGCCTAGTCCCTGTAGGTCTTCCACCTGTAGAGCTTGTTGCCCCTGGGGTTGCCATATCGGTCCGCCTCATATCGGTCAGACTCTTCATAGACGACTTCAGTGTTGCCATAGTTGTCAGCTCTCTCGTACTCTACCACCTCAACCCTCTCTCTTTCTTCAGGGTTCTGGTGGTGGTGGTGGTGGTAGCGAGGTCCCTCGTCTTCGTAGACGACCTCCTTGTTGAGAGCCGCATAGGCATTAGGGTACCTGGGAACATCAGGGAGAACACTGGGAGTCCTGTGCACCTGTGAGATGTGGCTGTGGTAGTCACGAGAGTTCAACATTTTTGCTGTGTATCTCCTTTTGTGTTGGATCTATCAATCACAGAGGTAAGCACAAGACGTAATTAAGAAGTTGGCAAGGCAGGGTGATATTTATAGGCGGCTGATTGCAACTGATATGGTGTTTTCATGGATTGATTCTCCTCAAGTTGATGAGATTGAGGCTGAATCTAATTCGATCCCCTGGGGCTTTAGTCTCTTTCCAACAGTAGATTCCACCTGAGATCTGGAAAAGGTGGGATTCCCATGGAGAGTGAACACAGGTAAGGCTGAGGAAGACGCAGAGAACACAGAAGGGTACAATAATTCAGGTCGCGCAAGCAAAACATGTTCCTCCTCGACAGATGGCGACATCACTTGTAATAATAGAACCCCTTTTTATTCTTTCCGCAATTCGCATGTCAATTTCCACACTGCTCTGAGATTCACAATGTAGACATATAATTTTAACGGTGTATATTTAAAATTTTTAACTAATAATTTTTTAATAGAATTTTTTCCAAAAAATAACAATAAAAAATTGTTTTTATTTTAAATTTTATACACATTAAAATATGGGATAATCCTACAAAAATGATCGTTAAATTTTAAAATTCTAAATTAGGAATTACTACAAAAATATGTTGATATTTGCTTTTCGCATGTAGTCATTTTTTTTTACGAGTATAGTAATCAATACTGATTTGAAATTTCAAAATTCAACAGTCTTTTTTTAAGATTTTTTCTTAAAATATTAAACTACTAAAAATAAAATTATACTAAATTTGGATTGTCCAATTTTAATATGAATGGTCTCAATTTAATGCTCATTATTTAAATGATAAGCACCCAGACTGAATACAGTTTGACACAATTCATAATAACGCAAAATATTAGGAGTAAGTTTGGTCTTCATATCTTAGAAAGTAAATATGTATCTATAAACTGTTAGTTACGAGTAATGTAACTCATGATCACATTATGTGGAAGGTAATGTAAAATGTATTTAGTTGATACATAAAACGAGAAGTGTGAAAATAAATAGGGAAAATAAATAAGTGAAAAAACATGTATTTTTATATATTTTTTGTGAATCAGAAATATATTGAAAAAGTTATTCCCATTTAAAATCCCACAGCATTAGAATTTAATTTAGCATGATATAGAATTTGGTCGTGAAAGAAAGATGTAAAGCAGATTAAGGAAATTAAAGGCTAAGAGGAATATGAGAACAACTTGATGACAGTTAACGACAATTCATAGATTCTAAAATTGTAGCCAAGGGATTCGCATAATGCTGGATGAGAGACAAGCGAATATCCGCTGAATGTGATGCTAGTTTTGTTACGGACCTAATTTTGTTTTAATCTCAACCATGAAACACGTTTTTGAATTGAAACTAAATCAAATTTTCTTCCACATTGAAACAACCTTATGAATCTATCAAGAAACAAAAAAACCATACCTGACACTAAACCGATTAAAATAGTAATTCAAGAATTAATGGGTCCAACTGAGTCAACTTAGGATCAAACTGGTTATATTAAAATAATATAATTTAATTCAAAATAACAAAATACAGCAATATTAATAATAATTAATAACAAAATACAAGGAAATGTAATAATAGTTTGATTATAATAAAACATAACAATATTGAGAATTTTGATCTTTACATTTCTTCAATAACTAAAATTAATAATTATTGATACAAAAATTATCATTAAAATTTATTTAAATATATGGTAACTGAGATATTAGGAGTTGAATAAGTAAAAATAAAATCAATAGCAACATAATTATCTAAACCTGTTTATCACTGGTTCACACCAACTTCCACTGATTTGACCAAGTTAATACTGGTTTGACACTTAAACTAGACCAAACCACTAGCTGGTTTACTAATTTTTCGCTTGGTTTCATCCTATTTTTTGTGCCATGGAATTTATTCTTACTTTAACTACTTTATAAAATGATATCCCATTTGAAAAGATGGCGTCGGTCCATATTTTAATTACTACTTTTGAGTACCGATCTTTTATTAGTTAACAAATATCCAACAATTCAATACAGATATTTGCAAGTTTTTTCCCCCAAAAAAATCCGATTAATATTACCCAAATTACCAACAAAAACTTTCATTTCTTTCTTGGCCACAAAAGATTTCATCTCATTTCCAATACCTATGACTATGGGTCTCCCTTCGCCTTTGTTCGTCACTAATGATACGGTAAATATATAATTTTAACCATCATCTCGTTTTTCAGGTACAATTTTACTCTTAATTTTTTTAGTAATGCAATTTCACTTATAATGTGAGATTCAATTCATTTTTATTTCCTAGTTAAATGACTTGGCAAGTCAATCAGTACTTCTAAATGTGAGATTCAATTAATATCAAAAAAAAAATGTGAGATTCAATTCATGTTGCAAGAAAATTTTCATTGGCACACCCAATGGTAAAAGATTTATTGTATTGTTAATTGTAACATTTGGAATTTTTATTTTTAAAATTTAGAATAATTAAGGAAATACAATTGTGGGGTACATTTAAGAGCAAGATTAGCCGGCAAAAAGGAAAAAGAGCATGATTAACTTTAATAGGTGAGAAATAAGATAAAATTAATTAGAAATCAGCTAAGAAAAGATAAGTAGGCTTGTCAATTTATGAATTAAGGGGTGTGGGTTCCGTCTATGTTAACCCGAGCTTGTTGTTTTTGGCGAGTTAGCAAGGATTTAACTTATATTACCAACTTTAATTATTATGGACATGTTTCAAAATTGAGACACAAGGTATTTTACCCTAAGCATAGCCTATGGTAGATATTGATGAAGAATAGTTTTCTAGTTCATAATTTTAGACGGAAACTAAACTAGAAAAAGAGGGTTTCGAAGGTTTAGGGTTGAGTTTTGCTTACTAAGTTCGTATGTTCAACTTTTTGGAGGGTTCCAAGCTTCTAGTTAACCTTTAAGGCAAGTGATGTGTGAGATCTGAGGCTTTGAAGCGATGAAAAGTTTGGTTTATTGTATCTTTAGATTTGGAGTAACTTTCGACTGATCTTTGATGTGATTGTGAACCATGCGATATCTCATATCTCATATCTCATATCTCATATCTCGCATACACGCAACCATTATCACAAATAAATGGAGCGTAAAAACGATGTCGTTGCGGAGCTCTAATTCTGACGGACGCTTTTTGGCCGCCCTTCTCGGCTAACGCGCAACAGCTGCTAAACGCATAATGGCGGCGATTCCAGGGTCTCTGGTTCCCGCCAAAACTATAACTTGCATTCCTACCATCCCCCAATTTCCTGAAAACCCGAAGTCCATAATACTTCAGAAATGCAGGACGCGCAGGGACCTCAACCAAATCCATGCCCACCTCATCAAAACCCGTCTCATCTTCAACCCTTCCCTCGTCGAAAACCTCCTTGAATCCTCGGCCATCATTCTTCCCAACACCATGGACTACGCGGTCTCCATTTTTCGCAAAATCGATGATCCCAAATCTTCCGCTTACAATGTCATGATCAGAGCCCTCACCTACCAGCAATCCCCTGATGAAGCCCTTCTTTTGTTCAAGCAAATGTGTGCCTGCGCGGTACTTCCCGATGAGTTCACTTTTTCCAGTGTCTTCAAAGCTTGCTCCAAATTCAAAGGCTTGGTTGAAGGCCAACAGATTCATGCCCATGTTGTGAAACGTGGGTTTCAGTCGCATGGGTTTGTCAAGAATACGCTAATTCATATGTATGCAGTATGTTCTGATATGGAGGTTGCTCGTATGGTGTTCGATGAAATGCCTGTGGGAGACCTTGTTGCCTGGAATGCAATGTTAGCTGGGTATGCCAAGAGCGGATGCTGGGAAGAGGTTGTGAGCATGTTTCTTAACATGCGGGAAATGAATATCGGATTTGATGAGGTTACTATGATTACTGCTTTGACGGCATGTGGCAGAGTAGCTAATCTGGAATTGGGAGAGTGGATTGCTCAATATATTGAGGCAAAGGGACTGAAGGGGAATATTAATTTGGCAACTTCGCTTCTTGATATGTATGCAAAATGTGGTCAGGTCGACACAGCTAGAATACTGTTTGATCAAATGACGCGGAGAGATGTGGTTGCATGGAGTGCCATGATATCCGGGTACAGTCAGGCAAATAGATGCTATGAGGCTCTTAGTTTGTTTAATGATATGCAAAAAGCTAATGTCGATCCTAACGAGGTGACCATGGTTAGTGTACTGTACTCTTGCGGAGTTCTGGGAGCTCTGGAAACTGGTAAATGGGTTCATTTCTATATCAGGAAAAAGAAACTGAAGCTCACCGTTACTCTCGGCACTGCACTCATAGACTTCTATGGCAAGTGCGGGTTAATAGACAGTGCAGTTGAAGTTTTTCAAAGAATGAGTACCAAAAATATCGTCTCCTGGACAGCGATTATCCAAGGGCTAGCTAGTAATGGTGAGGGAAGAAGAGCTCTGGAGTTTTTTCGTTTGATGCAAGAAGCGAATGTTGAGCCAAATGATGTGACTTTTATTGGCGTTCTTTCTGCTTGTAGTCATGTGGGTCTAGTTGAGGAAGGTCGAACACTATTCCTCAGCATGAGCAAGGACTATGGAATTGAACCAAGGGCAGAACATTATGGCTGTATGGTTGATATTCTAGGTCGCGCCGGTCTACTGGATGAGGCACTTCAATTTATAAAAAACATGCCTATGGAACCAAATGTAATAGTTTGGAGAACACTTTTGGCTTCTTGTAGAGCACATAAAAATATTCCAATAGGCGAAGAATCATTTAGACAGATAGTTCAATTGGAGCCGGCTCATAGTGGGGATTACATACTTCTATCCAACATATATGCCCTAGCAGGAAGACTTAAGGATGCTTTGAAAGTGAGGTCTCAGATGAGAGAACTCGGAATTGAGAAATCCCCTGGTTGTAGCTTGATTGAGTTCGGAGGGGTAGTTCATGAGTTCTTTTCTGAAGACAATGAACATTCTCATTCAAAAGAGATATACAGGGCAACTGAAGAAATGATCAAAAAGATTAAGTTAGCTGGATATAAGCCGAACATTAGCGACGCAAGGATAGATGCAGAGGAGGAAGCTAAAGAAACTTCCGTGTCTCACCATAGCGAGAAGCTGGCTATTGCATTTGGTCTTACTAATACTAAGCCGGGTTCTACAATTAGAATATCAAAAAATCTTAGAATTTGTACTGATTGTCACAATGCTACGAAGATAATATCAAAGGTGTATAAAAGAGAAGTCATTGTCAGAGATAGGAACCGATTCCATCATTTCAAAGAGGGATCATGTTCCTGCAACGATTACTGGTAAACTCAGCCGCCTAGACGTTCAAGATTAAGACGACTGATTATTTATGCAGGTCAAATTTTCGTAGGTAGCAGGTAGGGGGCCGGAAAGGGGTTTACTTGGCCTGTTCTTGTCGTGCCTGTAATTGTCGGATCCATTCAGTAAAAGAAACGCCAATTCAACTGCCTATTTCGTCAGAAGCATGTAAATTAAAGTTCAGTCTCCATTCATCCCTTGGTAGGTTATTGATCTCTTCAGTGAACAGTCATTATATGCGGCTTCGTTCTCCCTTCCAATCATTTTGTTTTCGGAAAATTATTCAATTGGAAAGATATAAGCTTCAACTTGCGAGGAAAGCATCCCATACTTAAGATGAACGAATGATCCTTCTTATGGTCCTTACAATCTCGGTGTGACAAAAGACGGCGGGTCAGCTCTATCACATAAAACGCTAGCAGTTGCTACATGGCCTTGACTTATCTCTATATTTTATTTGCTACTGCTCGACACCTACGAGAAGAAAAAACGAACTGCTCCCTAATATCTAGGATTCAATGGTTATAGGAGTGTGTGGGAGGAGCCAAAGGTACTTTTAAAAAGTATTTTGACAAAACTCTTCTTACGTATTTATTTTGAATTTCGTAAAATCACTTATAAAATCAAACACTTCCTGTATATTAGACAACTCAAGATATTCAAAGTGAGAAATGAACATCTCATATGATTTTGATTCCAATCAATTGGCTGTTGTTGAAAGGTCGATATCTTAGCAGCTACACTAACACTACCAGACTCCAATTAGGTTTCTATTGGTTAGAATCCTCATACGGAATATGATTTATGAGCTGCCAACCACCATGACACCAAATGATATTAAGTAAGATGAAGAATCATCTCCCAAAAAGCGCACTCTTGACTGGAGGGAATTCCACTAATAGTGTATTTACGCTGGGACAACCCATGCTGCTCAACCCAAAACTTGAAGTCTCATATTACTTTGATCTCTATCAACTAGGCTACTATGGGAAGTATAATTCACACCCCAAAAGATATTCAGCCTGTTTGGGTTAGCGTTTAGATCCAGAATAAGTAGCTTTTGCCACTTTAAGTATGTTTAGGCTCTTAATTTGGCGTTTGGAGAAGCTTTTTACCCATTTAACTTGTGGTCAAAAGTTGGTTTCAATCCTTCTTCTTTGAAAAGCTTCTCCTCCCTACTTATAGCTTATATGTAATCGTGTCTTTGATAAGTTTTTATGAGTTGGTGGGGCCATTTATTATTCTCTCTCTTCTCTTCTCCCTCATCCGTCTCATGCTTCTCTCTCACTCTCTTTGTTGGCAACGCAAGCTCATGTACACATATGTATGTGCATAAATAGTTTTGAATTTCTTAAAATTATGTTTAACTTTATATTTATAAAAAAAAATTTATGATATCCCTAATGTTTTAAAATATATTTTAGTCAGTAAATTTCACTTTTTCATATTAAAATAATTTAAATTCATCATATTATGTAAATTCATTTTTTTATTATTTTTTATTATATAATAAAACTCATACTCATTTTTGCAATTTTACAAACTAAATTTACTTTTATTCAATCATAATCCAAACAATTTTTTACCTAAACTAATTTTTACAAAATACAATCCAAATATAAATCATATTACGTAATTTAAATTTTATTCAATTGAACTTTTACAAAAATCAAATTGAAAATAAACTATGTTTTCTATCATTGATCCAAACATACCTATTATGGGATTTAACATGGCCAGCTAGGATGAATAAAGTGAAGGACAACCTTGATTCATTAGATTGACTTGACCTGAATTCATGGCACGAAGAATGCTCCCCACTGTGACAGTGTCTAGAGTAGAACTTTACCACAATACGAGATATAATTTCACATGCTTAGAACGATAGGTGAAAATCTTGCACTATTTATAGATGACTACTAATTGGTATGATCGGAATCCTACATTTAAATCTGCATCAGATGTAATGCCCGGTAGGTTTAATAGACGAAACAGATAACTTTCACTGGAAGTGTAAAGGAATCGTTTCGGACAATTTACAAATTGCCAAAAAGATCTCAGTGGACTAGATTCTCAAGTGACCTCGTTTATTTTTTTTAATCTATTTTACCCTTGAAGGGGATCTATCTTCTTATTCAATTATTAAAAGCATTGGTTGAAGCAAGAAAGAAAGCCATTAGGCTTGTGTTCCTCCTTTTTTCTGGGAGTATCTCCTGTGTTGTCACATTTAGCCATCAAAGAACTCGTGCCAGGGGACTCTGGTGCGAAGATGGTATTCTCGGAAGTGAATATTCTTGAAGGAATCATCGGTTTAGGGGGTGAAATAGTGTAAAGATAATTGAGCAGCATTTGGATTATTTGGGTGAAGTTGGGCCGGGCATTCGGGTCTTCTTGCCAGCATGAAGTCAGAATTACAGCCAATTCTTCAGGGAGATTCTCTGCACTGGGTCTAACATTCTGTAAGCACAAGAGTATTTCAAGTTACCAGGCAAATAAAAGCATATAAGAGACTTGGGAAAACAATATTAGATAAGAACATCTACGGAATAAAGCAGATCTATTTACTTTAAAGGCTGCTGCATAAGCTGCCTGGAGATTTGACATGCCTTCAAAGGGCAGTTTGTTATGCAAGAGCTCCCACAGAACAATTGCAAAGCTATAAGCATCCACTTTATGGTTGTAATGCTTCTTCTCTCCCTGCTTCAGTGTGACAGTGCTATACAACTGCAATTTTGAGTTGACGTAATCACTCCATACTCTTTACATACTCAGTTCAAAGAAGATAAATACAGAGAGAGCACATCCATTCCATAATAAAGTACCTCTGGAGCCATCCAACGGTAAGTTCCTGTTTCAGCAGTCATCATCTCTGTCAATGATTCCTCTCTAGCTAAGCCAAAATCTGCTAGCTTGACTGTTTTCTGGTCTTCAGTCAAGAGTAAGTTCTCTGCATTTAAAAAAAGGATTAAGGAGGATTTTCATTATGTATATGATTTATGTTTCAACAAGTTACCACCTCCGTCCTTAATATAAGAGCTAGTTAGGAGATTGGATTTGGTCCTAAATCTAAGACCTCAATCCACTTTATCTTTCATCTTTTCTCAAAATATTTCTATTGATTGCAAAAGGTTCCCGGATAATTCTAATCATCCAATGCACATGATTGAAGAGCATAGTTTAGGGAGATTAACATACATTTGTGGCAAATAACTAACTTAACTAATTTCCTTAATATCCCCAAATTAATCATCTAGCTATTATATCAAGGACCAAAGGTAGTACAAAATTAAGAAGAGGAAGATTCAGTACTCACAGCTTATAGCAGAATATTAATCAAATTCCTTATCTTGTTATGCTGTGACTGCTTGGATAATTTGAGGTGTTTAGATAATGTTAAAAGAACGGTATCATGTATATGACGTTTTCTTAAGATCGTTCCCCTGTATAAAAAGGCTGGTGACCCCACCTCTCTTAGCAGAAAGATATAATTCATGAATATCATACTCCATCAATGTGTTTTTAAATTTTAATGAAACAGTTGGATTAACTTTGAATTACTATCGGAATTGTAACAATAATCCGAATCCCCATATGTAGATATGGCGTGGCAAATATATGATATGATGATGCTAACTCTTCAGAGGGGTAACAATATAAAGAAGAAAAGAGAACATGGTTATGCAGTTATAACGCATATTGCACTATTGGATCAATTTTAACTCTATTTGATGTTTCTTCTCTATTGGCCATTATTCATAAACTCTATTTGATGCATCACGTCTTGATGAACATAGCAAATCTGTTTGGATAGGCAGTTAATGATTTACTAATTCAGTTATATACGGATATAAAAATAAAACCATGACCCTCCAGGGCTATTTCATGTTCTTCACTGCTCTGTTAGATGAAACAGCCATCAAATTGCATATCTTGGTAACTTTAATAATTTTTGTGTAGTTTCTCATTACTTGCATAGAAATTTTAGTAGACCATAGCATGGGTAATAGTGAAGTTATGACTTTTCATTAAGATAACTCCTCTTAAAGAAGTTTGGGCAGTGTTGACATAAAGTTACAACTACAACAGCATGCAGACTAGACTAAGTAGTTTGATGTAAAGAGGGTGATTTATTGCAGAAAGAAAGTCAAAGAAGTTATACCAGGCTTCAGGTCACGGTGAATGATCCCATGAGAATGCAGGCACTCCATAGCACGAGCAATATCAAGGGCAAAACCAATAGCAACATGTATGTCCAAGCAATTTGGCCGCATGTTAAGCAAATACTTGCGCAATGTTCCTCCCAGTAAGAGTTCAGTGACTATCACCATTACAGGCTCTTTGCAGGTACCAATAAACTGTTAATACACATGGTGACAACTTTTACTGTAAGGTGTTGACTTAAAAGTAGTTTTTGTTAGATCATAATATATCTATTGTTGCTTCATTGACGAGTTATAGGCACAAAGGACAAGAATCAGGGAGAGCCTAGACCTAAGTCCAACCTTCACCAAGTTCTTATGTTGAACTCTAGACAACATCGCAACCTCCCTAGCATATCGGGCTTCTCTCTTGGCAATTTCTTCTGCAGTTTCCCCTTTATGCAAAATTTTAATTGCAACCGTCTGGTTTTTGTATCTGAAACGAAACCAATAAAAGAATTATGTAGATTGTAGGGTAGAATATCTGCAACTTAAACTCATTATAAAAGCAATTAAAGAAAACCCAAATCTTAGAGAAGCCTAACTCAAGATCATTAGTGATGGCTGTTGCCATCACTTTTATCAAGAAAAGAATCTATAATTAGCTTCCAAATCACTATTTCATTTGAAGCCTGAGCAATGAAATGCATTGCATGGAATGAAGGCGTAAGTAATCAAACAGTGGACAATAATTGATTTGCTGGCACCCAACAAGCAAGTACCATTGCTCATCAAGATGGAATATGCAAACTCTGCAGAAAAAATGAGACGCTGAATTTCGAAAAAGCAAACTTACTTGCCCTCATAGACTTTGCCATGAGCTCCCTCTCCAATTCTGGGCCCTACATATAGAAGCTTAGGATCAATTAGCCACTTTGGGTCCAATCTGAGCTCATCGACAGAATAGAACCCTCCTCCAGATTCCATTTTTGATATACTGGAGAAGAAATATTCAAGACATGCATCAACCAGTAAAATCCAGCAGCCACCGTCACACGAGAACCCTAAAGAGACACCATTTGAGGTCTGATTCGCATGGCAAATAGAATTGCTGACATGAAGCAGAGAACTGTACAAAACATGCTCTGGAGCGTCTCGTTCTGCAACTGAGAATCAGAACCACATCTCGAAAAGTGAGGCCTCTAAATCAATACTCATTGATGATTTGCATTTCCTTGGGGAGGCAAAAGCATGGAACCCACATGCTTGAAAGAGAAAGGGAGAGAGAAGAAAGAAGGGTGACAATAAACGCAAGCAAAGCCCAAAGCCCAAAATGATTTCTTGAAAGTTCGTGGGGGCAAAGAGAAGAATCCCCGGAAAATAGAAGATGAGCAGGAATCTACCACTAATTGCTCAAGTAAAAACGAAGTCTTTTTAAGCTATGGAATGTCAACACTCACCCCCAGAGAGCTTCAGTTCAATGCTCCAATATTTATTTTTAATGTTCTAATATTGTAATCATGGGTCTTTGCTTCACCACGAATGCTTGATCTGCAGACAGAATCATAAATAGGAGAATTAATAAAGAATTTAATAAAGGAAGGCAAAAGAAGCTCTTTTGGGACAGAAGATAGGCACTTGGGAGGGAAGAGTGGTTTCTGAAGACTGTATGAGCCATAAAATAATCAAGGGCACGTGGAGACTGATCTTGGCAGCATGTGACGACCCGATTCATGAGCAACATCTTGAGAAATAAATAATATATATTACATATCTTCCACATATCTTTTGCTCATCTTTAATCGGAAGCGTAACGTTATTGTTAAAGTAACCATTTTTATGTTCTACATGTAGACAGTGGACACACAGATATGGGGTTTAAAGGCATTTTCGTTCTGAACTATTTCAAGATATATATGGGATATCCTAAATTATTGATTAAATCAATATCATTTTTAAAATGTCAAAATCATTGCAACGTTGTTCATTGACTAACCGATATTAACCTTTACTACTCCTCCGGTCCTTGATATAAGACTCAATTCTTGAGTTGGTTTTGGTTCTAAATATAAGATCTATTTCTTGTATTTATCATTTTTCTCTAAATTACCCCTATGGATACTCCCTCAACCATAATCAAGTAAAAGAGGGAGAGAGGGTATTAAGAAAGATGATTATGGTATTTTAGGAAAAATGTGTCACTTTTCTTATAATTAACTAACTTACCTAACTTCCTTAATCTAATCAAATTAGTTAAATGGGTCTTATATTAAGAAGCGGATGAGTATTAACTTTGCATTAATTTTGGGTTAAAGAATATTGGAGTAATTAATAACTTTTTTTAATTGAAACATGTGGCGTCATGTTAAGTTGTCACATGTTTTGTTATTTGGGTTGCCAACTAAAGATTCATTAATTTAAAAAGAACACTGTTTGTCAACCCTCCACTAACAGTCAATTGATGATGTGGTAAAAAATTATATGCCTATTTTACTTGGCTACAAGGTTGACTGATAAATACTTATGTAATCTATGGTGTTATACACAGATATAACGTGTAACGGTATCTAGTTGGCAAGGTATGTCACACTCTAAACATATAATGTAACACGCCTCCTTGGGGGGGGGGGACAAAAGAGGATGCCAATTTTTCATGTTATTAATTGTAGAATGCGGTGTGGAAAAAAAAAATGTAGAATGCCAATCACTCCATAAATACTTTGTGGCCAAAAATGGTTTTTAACCCAAAGTCAATTTGAAACTAAATGTCAACATCAATATTCATAAGTCAAAGGATAATATTGTCACAACGTTAATATTTTTAAAAAAATGACTTGCTTCTTAGGATATCCAATATTTCTTGCAAAATGGTTCATGATGAAAGTGTGCTGTGACTATCCTTTTCTTCTTTTGGCCTTTTATGCAAGCGTGAGCACACCGGCAGGTCTCGCCGTTGACGCTACTCGCATCTAACTGAAGTTGCTTCTGTACAGAGTCATAGTTAATGGATGAATATTGAAAAATCTGTTAATCTTTGATCTAAAGTTGATCGCTTTTTTTAATCATCATTGATATTACTGTGGATTTCAGCTTTTCTGACAATACTTTGCTCTTTTAAAACTCATTTTTCTCATCATTATGAGTTCAAAAGCAAGCACAACATGCGCTTCCTATGACTTCCGCTGATGTCAGGGGAGTCCAAATTTGCATCTGCCAGTGCCATCCACTTGATTGTAAAAACTGTGTTAGTGGATAATGGGTACTCTTATTATCTCTGGATTTGCTCAGTCTTATTACTTCCACTTGAGCACAACACTGTTGATGGTTGAATCGTTAGGCTGAACCAAATATGCCTTCATCTATTCCTCACTATTCTGTTTGCTTTACATTACGACCAATCCACACCTTCAAGGATAATTAATTTGTGCGAGCTTATTCACCACTGCAGCAGCCGGGGCCCTTTCACATACATCCATGGCATGATCAATCCATTTCTTGAACTGTGTTATTCACTTCTTACGTTTCTGGATTTTAGTTTTTATGAATCATCCCTTTCTCTGTTCGGTTTAATGTAAAAGCAGACAACTTTTTCATTCCCAAAACCACTTAAGATTGCAACACAAACGCAATACACTAAACAAAAACAACTGATGTTACTACTTGAATTCGTTTCGAGGGAGTTCCATCTCCTTAATAATTACAAATAAAAACATATTCTTCATACATATGAATGTATGTATAAACAATACATGTACAGGTAAAAAAATAATAACAATAACAATAATGATAATCTCGTACAAATGTGATTCTTTTACCTCGACAAGGTCACCGGAGGGCAGCAAACAAGCTCAGCAGAGCGGCGCACGCCACAGCGAAGAAGCGCTTCCGCTTGAATATGGCAGGGACGAAGTAGGTGGTGACTTCACCGGTGATGAGGCTGCCTCGTCGAACCAAAACCCGGCGGCGATTGCCGGCGAAGGCGAGCAGCACCAATACGGTGATCCATGCGATCATGGTGGCTCGGAAAGCCATGAGCAGCCACGCCAGTCCCAGGATCAGGGGCAGCACCAACCATCGGAATTCAGATCTCGGAGAAGCGACAAGGCAGAACAGAGTCAAGGAAAGGAACAAGGTACATGTAATGATGGTGGTCTTGGACGACATAGGGGCGGTTTGGAGAAGAGAAGATGCAGTGTTGGAGGGAGAAAGAAACCTAACGCAACAGAAAGTTGGGTGGCAGGAGCAAGGAAGCCAATGATGAAGGAATTTGAGAGCATGTGGAGCACATGGAGAGCCTGGTAAGGGGTGGCTATTCTAATGCCTACTCGCACAAAAGTCAGATTATATTATTGCATCCGAAAAAGGCAATCACACCTAAAACTGGCCTTCATAGCCCCTTCGTGTGTGCTTTCTTTAAAACAAGAGCACCCAGGTGGTGTTGTCAAATCTCACTGCTTCGCCTGAGTAGAAACTGGGCATTGCCAACTCAAGAAACAAACACTGATTCTAGTTTAATAAAACAGTGTCTTGAATCGGAGAAGAAAATGGTCGGAATTCCATTCCAGCTAACCGCGGCTGATTGTTCAACTTAATCAAATGTCGCATTTTTACATTATAATTCGGCCAATTTTCGTTGAATTTTAACCGCTCACATAACATGAATCTATTTGGCGAATTGGTTTTCTCCGCTGCCCCGTTGCGAGGTTTTCAGTCCCTCTTTGGGCAGAAAAACAAAGAGAGAGAGAGAGAGAGAGAGGCTCTTGCACAATCGACTCGACCCCATCTTAGGAGGAAATTATTAGTTAGAGTCCCCAAATGAAGTTGACATCAGTGAAAATGCAGCAAGGATAAATGTAAATAACATTGCGAAAATACCATGATTACTCTGGCACTGTCACCTTGAAAAATACACCTAAATTAGAGCATCCAAAAATATAATTTAAGACCGAAAAGATTATCTGTCGTCAGGCAGACAGGAATCGGAAGCAAGGGTCATGAGACCAACTTATAGGACCTTCGCTTTATAGCTGCTCGTTAAGATAAGCCTGTTTGGGAGTCTTAGGCGACGTGACATACTCTGCAACGTTCTCGGAGACGCTCTTCAACCAGGAGGTGCTTCGCGTTAACCACCCCATCTGGGCCTGTTCTTGCATCGCCACCCTGTTTCTTTCTTCCTCGTTTAGTATGTTCACCAACCTCGTTGTCATGTAATTCCTCACGGCTTGAGCTCCTAGCCTCACAACCTCTTTTGGTGGCACTTCCACAGGGTTCTGCTCCAAGTTGAGTTTCCTCAGATTTTCCAGGCGACCAAATGTATCTGGAAGCGCGCTGATCTGATTGTTGCTGAGGTCCAACTCCATGAGATTAATCAGATCACAAAATGTCGCAGGAAGTTCTTGAAGGTCCGCGAAATTACTGCTCAGGTCCAGCACCTCAAGGTTAGTCAATCTTCCGAATGCGCTTGGAAGTCCATTCAGCTCATTGAAATGGGCATCTAGATAGCGCAACGATCTCATCTCACAAACAGATGAGGGAAGCGACCGAAGCTTGTTCAGATTAATCAACAGCTTCTTTAAGTTCTGTAATTCATACCCAATATTTGTAGGCAAATACCTCAGACTGTTGAAGCTAGCATCCAACTCCACTAATGACCTAATCATTGATCATACAGACTTAAAATTTCCGGACGAAAGAATTCTTCTGATCAGAGCAGAAGAATTTGTTGCATGTTACATGAAAGTAAGACATCTGTAGATTTTTCTGTCATCACCACCGTTTTAAAACCCCGGGATGCATAAATGGAAATGGACCAGGGTTTCATACAATTTGTAAGATAATTTTAAAAGAGACACAAGTGGAAAAACAACAAAATTCAATTTTCAGAAGCCATAATCCCTGAAAATACCATGCTTTTACCACAGGGATGTTATGTTAACAGTCCAGATAAATATTACTAGGATCCCCAATCACTAGTCCGTACGTACCTTATCAAGTTAACAACTTAACAAAGACGCAAAATACGCTGCTCTTGTAAATTTCTATGTAGTATCTGTTTTTGTCACATACATACCTGCAATGGGAGATGGAGTCAGGAAGGGCGGTCAGTTTGTTTCCGGAGACATTTAGGATTTTCAGCTTCTGTAGCAAGCCAATTGAATCCGGAAGTGACTCCAAATGATTTGCAGATAAGTTAAGCTCCTCAAGATTTTGCAATCCGGCTACCGCGTCAGGAATCGACTGTTATGTTACACAAAATGCTCGTACATACGTAAAATCATAAGAGAAGAAATAAGACTCGTAAAAACGTACTCGCACTATGCCTTTAAACATATCAAGAAGCCATTGCTTTCATATGCATGAAAAAAATAATTATGTTATCGCACAATTCGTGCTGATTCTCCTGATGATTTTATCGGTTTCCTTTTGCTGTCTTTTGTTCGTTTAGACTCACAGGGACAAATGAATCAGAATATGCTATAAAGATATGAGATATCTACAATGAACTTTGATGGATGCGAAAATCAGTATCAGCATCAGAATGTGATTCTGTTAATTAAGAATCTTAATTAATAGGGCTTAAGCGAAATCTAAATACGCCTACCGTCAGCTGGTTGGTGGAAACATCAAGCGCCACCAACCCCGAAATCCGCCAAAAGGCCTCGGGAAGCAACCTCAGGCCGCGATTCGAAAGATCAATTCGCTCTATCCCCTGTCCATAGGCCTTCTGCAGAATCCCAACGACCTCTTCGTTGACCTCCTCTGTCTCCGTCTTGTCTTCCTCGGGATCTGGTATTCCGTCGGCGGAATTGTAAATCGCTTCCAATCTTTTCTCCGCGTCCTTGAGCAACTTCTCATACGCATCGTGCATCTCATCCAATTGTATCACTGCTTTATACACTCGCTTCTCATCCTCTGCTAATTTCCTGCACTCCTTCTCTTTCTCGGCCTGCTGACTCCGCCATTGATTGGCGTCGAGGTGAGGAGGCCTAGGCGAGAGCACGATCTCCTCGAGCTGTCTGGACAAATGAGCGTCCAAATCAGCGAGCTTGGCCTTGGCATTGTCGACGGTTTCATGGTCCGGTCGGTCGCCGAGGACCTTGAGCATGGATCGGGTCTGAGCGACGTCGTAGATGGTACGGGTAATGGAAGCCAACAGTTTTGGGTCAGTGATGCGGGGCATCTGGGCAACAAGTTCAGGATTTTTTATACCAGAAGAGGACGAGGAAGAGGGATCGGAGGGTGAAGGGAGGCGGGGCTGTTCGATATCGTAGGGCTCAGGATTGGAAGAGGCAGTGGGGCGAGAGGAGGGAGACGGGATATGAAGGAGGAGAGAAGAGGGAAGCTTCCAGGGTTGGGATCCATGGCTGGTGGTGGTGGTGGTGACGAGTAGCTCTGTGACTGTGACGAAGGAGTGTGAGCGATGAAGGATGATGGCTGTGAAGTATGGCCTTTAGGGTGTGCTTTGAGAATATCGGTCTCCTTCGTATGTTACGATAAGGCGGGCATAGCTTTGCTCCTAAGCTGTGAACAACTCGCGCGGGGATTTTTCTAACTGATAACCGAATTTCATGCAACTAACTTCCCACGTGTCACTTCTACACCTTCTCTTGTTACAGTTACAACTGTCATAACTGTCATCCGTTCTATGTTTTCAAATACTTCTCAGAGTAAAACTTTCTCGTTATTAGAGGAAGGAAAAAAAACAAGATCAGCAATCATATAAGTTGTAATTTTTTTGTAGAGTAAAATAGATTTCCATTAATAATAATAATAATAATAATAATAATAATAATAATGATAATGATAATCAATTTCTAGAAAGATTTTCATTCCCTAATTGAGTTATTACATCAATTCCACCGACTTTAAAACAAGTTGAATCATTACTACTAAATGCTTGTCAACAAGATAAATCATTATTTAAAAAAAAAGAGATGAAAATATTTTACTACTAGTAATATATAAGCTGAATTTTCTTGCTTTTACAAAGAAAAAAACCGACAAGAAAGTCTCGGTGAATTCATTGATTCCCATTCTTCTTTGATGGGGTTCCGATGACATGAACACTGATAATTGGATTCTGCCCCTGTTTCGTCCCTTGTTTTTCAGTGGGTTAAAATACTCCAAAACTCCTTATCGGGGAAAAAAAGAAAAAAAAAAAAACTCCAAAACTATCAAGAAAGTCAGTGTAACTGGCATTAAACAAAACAACAACATCACGCTGCCATAACTGAACAGATATGCCAGAAATGAGGATACATCTGTACTGAATGCTAGCTTAAAGCTTCAATGGAGCTATCCTTCTGAGATATGAACAAAACCTCTTTTTGAAGCATTTCAAATATTTCCTTCAATCGATTTGTAAACTTAGCCGTTATGTTTTGATTGATCCTTTGCTGAAACTTGGAGCTTTTAAACCATATTATCTTAATGTAAGCTTCGCACTTGCAAGCGCAGTCATCCACCGGAGATTTCTGAATCGGTGTCTAAAATGGATCTGCAGGCAGGGATTTTAAAAAACAAATCAGGAAGTGAAACCCCAATTTTGGAACAAAATGAGCCAGATATTTGGAGACCAAACCAATCATGACGAGACACGTACGCAGAACAAAGCTGTGTCTCGCTGAAAAATATTCATGAAATGCTTCCATATATATCTAGTCTAGATAGGTTCAGTCTACCAAAGAATTTTCTGAGATATGAAAAATGAGTTTTCAGGGTCACATACACGAAAGTGATCAGCAAACGGAACACCGTGAAGGGCCATGACCTCGTTCACAATCCAACCTTCAGTGTTTTCAATGGGGACTTTTTGTTGTGTGCATGTGACTTCACCACCGAAAACTGATACCTGGCGGCTGAATTTGTAAGATACTCTCCTTTGAAAGACATCGGGTTTTACAGATTCCCAGGAGGTTGTTCCATAATTAATACATCCAGTTCGCTGCATAATCTTATGTTCAAGTTTCCTCCATCAAACAGTTCCAGCACCGTTCTCATCTACAAGAGTGATACGCACAATAAAGCCACCGAAACTTTGTAAATACAAAGGGAATAAGTACACACTCATCTAGTGGGAAGAAATATGGCAGTTTTCAGGGGCAAAGAGCAAGACAACATCCTAAGGTAGTCAGGTGTACAAAAGATAGGTAGACCCAAAAAATTATAAAAGATGCGTAAGCAAATAAAAAAAAATGGTCTATCTATAAAAGTTGAGGCCAACATAGTTACATGTTTATTCATGATTTTCTTGATCTGATCAGCCTAAGGATTTTGTAAGCAAAGAACCAAAGATACATGACAGCCTACTCCAGGCCAAATTCAGTGGCTTAAATCAAGAGGAATCAGTTAATTTTTCAGATAGCAATAGAAACTTTCAATGCTGATTCAAAAGGCCATGAAGCTTCCAAGCGCATCGATGCTTAAGTTCAACCATTAGAAATAAGGTGAACAAAAGTATTATTTCTGGTCTCTAACCAACTTGTCTTTTGTTCGATCCATGAAATAACATGAAAAAACTTAGTCTTGTCCGTGAGACTAGCAACCACCAACTTACCTTGACTGGAAATTCTGCTGAGTAAATCTTGGACATTTTTGCTTCCTCATCCAGCATAGACCCAAAGTCACCAGGAACCACAGAGCCCTCCTCTTGATCCCCCTGCTCTTCTGCAAGACGTGCTTTCAGATCAGGGTCCAATGTTCTTGTCCTCCACAAGGCCTTTATTGTCCTGCTTTAAAACAAGGATTTCTTCTTGCAGGTAAAAGGAGAAAAATTCGTCGATTCTGCAGATCATAATGTGAACCTAAACATGAAGAATCACAATACCTGGAGGCTGTACCGAATGACACAAATGATTGAAAATGGAACCTAAGCCTGCCTTCCTCATCTTGACTCTTTGCGGCGTGCCTAGCATCAAGACCTCGATCCTTTCGCAGAATTATGACTAGTGTAGGGCTGCCTATTGACACCAATGAAGGAGGGAGCACTTGCATGTCTTCAATATCTTCCCAGAGGAAGAAAAATTTGGTTTTCTGCCCAAAAAAGTTGGCATAAAAACCCAGAATTCTTGCAGAGAGAAACAGCCGACCCTGCAACCAAAAGGCATATATCTTAAGGTTTATGAGGTTCAATATGTCCAGATACATTATTGTGGTAAGTTCCTTATGCCATGGTATCCAACAATATTCTATTTTTCAGTACTAATACAGTGCGTGAAGTTTTAAACAAACGTATCAACCATACACAGAACCTGTAAAAGCAATTTTCTCTTCAGGTAGCAGGTGAAATCACTGATTAGAAACTCTTCTGGAGGCAAACCTAACAATTTCTGGAATGTGGAATTTCTTTGAGGGGATCGAAGATTCAGCTGCAATCCACTTGTCAATGGTTAGATATACAGCTCCAAAACAAAACACAGAACAAGTTGGCAGTAGAGCTTTTCTTTTTCTTTTTATTTTTTTTCTTTTTTGGGTTGACTATAGTTAGCAGCGTTAAGGCCAGAAGAAAGAAACAATATTACAAGACATTTTTTAAAAATGATTACATACTAATGCTCAGAGAAGCATGTAATAAGGCAAATTGACAAATCAGATATCTGGTCCTTAGTGTCTTACCCTTTTGCCTACTTCCTTTCCCTTCTTCATTAAATACCCCCTAATTGTTTCAACTCCTTTATTATTGTCCAAAAATATTCTCAAATGCAACTTTGATTGGGATGACTGCGCAAACTTTCCTTCTAGGGAAACCCACATGTCCGCCAATTCAGTAGATGTGTGCTTCAAGAAATTGATTTCAGCATGTCCAAGGGAAACATCCTGGTCAAATGGACCATCAAAATCGAAAACTTCCACATTTAAAACTGATGGCGGTTCTTCCATCGCATCAAACTCTAATATTTCTGCATATTCATTGAAAGATTAATAGAGTACCAGTAAACATACATCCATGTAAAAGATATATTAATGCAAATAAGTACCAAATTAAATTATTAGGGGGGGGGGGGGGAACCCACACCATTCCATTGAGGAGCTCTTGTCTCAAGCTTGACAGAGCTTGACCTTGTTTTTCCATTGCAGGTGAAAACCACATAAGGGTCTGATAACCCCGATGACTCTAAGGATGCCAGATCAACCCCCTCAATTAAGGCCACAGTTAGAATCCATCCATCCCCATGGGCTTTCAGACCATGATCACTTCCTGTCAAAACGGATGGAACTCATCATTGAACCCTACGATGAAGCCTAAACCGAAATAGCAAGCACGGGAATTCTCAAAATGAAATACAAATGATAGTTGGGATAATTGTCCAGCTTATAAGCACATTAAACTTACCCATTTGAAATCTAGCTTGGAAAAAGTGAAAGAGCATGTTGTAGACACGCTGCAGCTGGATGACTAGAATTCCACTCGTAATGAGCTCTCCAAAACTGTCTGGCAATTCTAGGCCTTTAAATTCCAAGCCTCGGATTTCGTTTGGACCACAGCGGAAGATATGCACCAACACATATGAAAACATGACAATGGTGGAAACTACTGTAAAGTTCCAAAAATATTTGATTGCCAGCCGCCAATTGGACAGATCTTCTGTTTGCATAGTTGACAAGACCTGTTGTTTGTTTGATAAATTAGAGGTGTCTAGCTTCTTAAATTTCTGAGCAAGTAGGTTAGAGAACTGATCAAAACTCTCCTTCAGTCCTTGACGAGCACCCCCTTCTATCATGCCTTTCATCATTGTGCTTTGCATGAAGACAATGCCCCAAGACACCACAAGATGAGAGCATTTTTCTGCAGATTGCTCTTTTTCGGGCATTATCTTGTAAAGCAACTCAATCTTAAATGAATTTCCGTATGGGACCTCGGGTGTGCTTACACCAACAAGTATAGCATATTCCTCTTTATTCACCCTAACATAGGTTTGCTCCTCGGTGGCCTTAACTGCCTTAACTAACTTCGTGGGAGCTTGTGTATAGGAAACAACTCGTGTTAAGCAAGACATGTCTCCAGATTTCCATGTCCAGGGCCCCTCTTGAACATTTGTTGTTCCTTGCAGTTCTGCCAACTCTCTCCTGAACTGTGAATCGGGCGCAAAAAGGAGTGCATTAAGATCATAAGTAGACACTAGATAAATCTGATCTACCAGGATACCAGCAGGCAGATTTTCAGGCATTTCCAGTTTATGATCTCTTGACTCCATTAATGCAATGGCTTCTTCAAAGCTACAAGGAGATGGACCATCACGAACAATTTCTTCATTATCAGATAATGAAGTGGATGGTTCTGAAGAATCATCACCTTTTGAACTTTCTTCTTTCTTAGTGAAAACTTTATCCAAACGATTGGCGTATTTAGCAACAACCTTCATCAACTGTTTCCCTTCAGGCATTTTACAGCGAGGTACTTTGGGGATAAAAATGTCCTGAGATGAAATATGTGGACCTGCCAAGTCTTTAGAGTCCTCCATAGCAATACCGGAACTTGGAGGATGCATATGATTGAGGAAAGAAGCATGCCCTTTACCACGAAGAGAAGTAGTAAGGAGAATTTTCCCTGAGTATATAAGTAAATATTAGAGTATACCTTAACAATGGAATAATCAACTGGAACAAACAGAGCAGACTGAAAATGTGATCGAAGACGCAAAAGAGCAGCAGTAGCACATTAAACCATCCTTTAGATGCATTAAATTATAGCTTTTCCATTTCAAATCCTGAGCAAATACTACTAATCTTCAGGCTAACTAGAATAAGTAAATTAGAGTAAGGAGAAAGAAGCGAACTTCTAGGCCATAAAAAAGTAATAAACCAGTTACTCGAAACCCGATGCATGAAAGACCAATTGTCGTCCCAGTACACAATTTCCAATACTCCTGTAATTGTTTATAGAAAAATGCGACAAATTCATAAATTAGCCCCGTGCATGTTAATCTGTAAATTTCAGATTAAAATATTAGAAAACAAGCATCCACAGATCGTTCCATTAGACATTCTAACACAACATCATTCTAAAATTCTAATCCAAAACTTGTTCGATGAGCCCATTGATAAAACTAACGCTGAAAATGCAATCTCACAAGATAATTTTAAGCATAGACAGGGAAACAATTTAACAAACCACAGTATATATTGACAAATTTCCCACTCTTGGGACATTCAAGAGAGAACCATGTAGGCGGCAAGGTTTGCTTATCCTCACAGGCAACCGAGCCTACAGGAATCCATACCTCGCCCAACAAATCGAGACAACCGTTGGCGACTACAGATTCATCGTTATGATTGAAAACAGAAACAATAAGCTCCTCGTGTGCGTCATGAACCCTGAAAACGAACTCTTCATACCAAACAGGGTTGAAGGTGTGCCTCAATATCCTAGTCCTGGACTTCAACTTGCCTAGTTTAAGTTTCACGTAGGAATTCTTCACGGGCAAGTCTTTAGCTTCTAAAACACAAACGTAAAGTCTCAACATTGAAATAAAAAAATGTCGCCTATGGAAGCTGCAAAGCAGGGAATAATGCTAAAAGGAAAAAGGGTTTCAATGGGGTTTACTGATAAAGCAAAGTTTGGGTCGCTTCGGTGGACGAAAGCACGAGAAAACGTGGAAGTGGAAGGAAAAGGACACGAATATAGCCGGTTTTATGGAGTTTGCGATTAAGGAGAAAACGGGTCAAAAGGATTATGGCTGCATCGTAACTTGCGTAAGATGGTTTGCTCGTGGTTTACTGATTAGTACGTCAGCTTTTGATTTTTGAATGCCATTAAAACCGAGCCTTTTCTTGGAACGCGATCGTGTAGCTCGTACGCTTTGTTACGGTGCCAAGCGGTTTCAGGAAAAGAAGCGGGAAGATACTGGAAATGAGTGGACTTTCTTTACTTGTTTCATTCTATTCCACATTGTCGGCACGTTACCAGAAGTAACATGTTTAGCCGGCAGCAAAAGAACTTACAGAAGATGAAGGGCTTCCAAGATGATGAAAGAGATACATTATGGAAAAAAGAAAAGGATTGGTAGAAGTTTACCCTAGCAGGCTTTGATGCCTCTGAACGCTTGACAAGTCCTTTGTAATTTCCAGATTTTGCAATTCTATTTTCTATAATGTTAACTAAATATCCAGTGTGATATATAGATACATGGTATCTCTCGTGTAGAGTTGTCTGTAAATTTTCACAAGTTAAAATTAAAATAAGGTGAAATTTTAAATACCAAATTACAAAGGCGAGATCAAATTTTGAAAATTCAAAGTGATATTAATCATGCTAAAATTGTAAAGGCATATTTTCTATTTTCAAAACCTAGATCTTAATCTTATTTTTAAGAAAAATTGGAAATATATATTTAAAGGTTTCAAATACTTATTTAGTGGTTGAATTTTATATTAAAAATTTACAAATTTTAAACTATCATTATGATTTTATTTACAGTTCCAACAATCTTTAATGACCAAGTATAATAAGTTCTTTAAATCACCACCTCAATGTAGACCTGTACGGTCTATTTTGTCGCGCAGCAACAGAAACAAGCCTGGGCCCAGGGCGCCTTGGTCTGGTTTGGCATCCCTCTGGGTTTAAGAATTGATGATCATTAATACAAGAGCCTTAATGGGTCTTTAGAAATAAGGAGCTGGCTCATGATCATTCTGCTGAGCCTGAGTGAGAGGAATGAAGTTGCTGTTCGAGCTTTTACTGGCGTCAAGTCAAGGGTAAGAATGCTGATAGTGATAAGTAAGTGGAGTTATGTCTTCATGAATCGTTTCTAAGGGATCAAGATATAATCAGGCCACCTTTTGACTCTTCTCTGACCATAAAGGCCGGGCTCCTGAGTCCTAGATTTGAGAGCCGAAGCTGTAGTAATTCACAAAATGTTCAGTGTCCGGCGCATGTGACGTAGTTCCCACTGCCGACGAAGACGATCCCCACGACGTCGTTTCTCAGTGGCCTCATCTCCATAACGAAGAACTCATTCCTTCTCCCCATTTAACGAAGACCAGAGAGTTTACCTCCGATCGATTTTCCTGTCTTCCATACTTCTATTCCATTATTTTCGAAATCGCACTTCTGCGCACACAGTTAGCTCAGAAATTCAAAATCATATGAGAAATGGTAAGCTGCTGGTATTTCTATGTTTGACATAGCTTATATTGGCGAATGGCGATTCCTGGTCTGAAACAGATTAACTTGCCATGGATTGCTACATGCTACCAACATCTGAATTGTTCCATAGGATACAGATCAGCAGAGTAAATGAAGCAGCTTGTACTTTACAAGCATGCAGTCTTCGTTAGTGATCGATAGGCTGAAAAGATCAGTATGTTGGGAACCTCCACGAAAAAATTCAGTCAAATCCGATAAGAAATAAGAAATCGCCTTCCAATCGTTGTTCTGATCAGAGGTTGTATAGGCTGAAAACAGAACCAATATGAATTCTCAAAAGTAAAACCAAGAACTCTCTTTTTCCTCTCTTGCTTCACAGTTCACACTTATGGCAGCCACGCAAGTCAACTCTTACCAGGTTTTCCTTCTTCTTTTTTTCTTTTTCATAAATAAGAAATGCATGAAATAAAAATTGAATAGTTAAAGTATTAGGCTTCTACGTAGGAGTGAACCAACAGAGACCTCCTCAAAGAAAATCCATTGCATTCCTTTTCTTTTCGATATTCATCTGCTTTGATGATATGAACTATGCTGACTTTTTCTTTTGACTAGTTACCATACCTGTTTAATTCTCTTAGAAGAGCTTCACAGTGCATTAAGGGAGTAATCAAGCACAAAGCCGTTCACTTTTAAGTCTGCAAAATGTGGTTGCATTGGAGAGAATGGCCCTCGTTTAGGATACAAAAAAATGCCAAGTGGTCTCTCCTCAGTGTTGGTATGAATCATTTCAGTGCAACGAAATCAGGAAGATGAATATGAACCTATCTGGAAAACCTCTACCGATAACGAGAGAAGGAAGACTTTGATAATGATGCTGCTGGCAATGCAGAGGAAGTGGAGCAAGAAACTGTTTGAAGAACTTGTGCATCAGTATGAACTTTCATATTTGTTTGTAAGAACATCGGTTTAAGTGCAAATTCCAGTGCAAAATTATGCATTGGCCCCGCATACTGCTGCAGTTTGCTTGCTGTTCTTTTGCTTGTGTTGCACACTCTTGGTTATGCTTGATGTTAACCCTTTGTTTGGTTTAGCAGGAGGGAATTGGAGTGGAAGGAAAAGAAAAGAAAAATTTTAATGAATTCAATTCAAAAAAATTTTAAAAATGATGTTAAAAATTTTTAATTAATTTTTCTTACTTTTTTATTTTAAATCTTCTCTTTATCAAAATTTTATAATCTCATTTTTCTATTTTTCTTAATCAAATTGATTAAATTTTTTCCCTCTTTTTTTTTTCATTTTCCCCATATCAAACGGAGTTTCTATAGGTCACTTCAATTTGGCAATATAATCATATCCATAGTGTGTACAATTTAGCCAAAAAAAAAATGTCGTATAATATTTTTTTTGAGCTGAAAAATGTCTCATAATATGAAACAGAGTCCTTACACTTATAAACCACCGAGCGTTTAAATCAATTGACAACAAAGTTATTTTAGCTTAACCAAAAGTTTTGAGTTCAAAACTTAAGAATGTAGCAACACAGGTGGCAAAGCTGCCACTCGAAAGGGGCCCAAAATACTCAAATCCAAATTAGTTGGGCCCTGTTGAGTTTCTCATATCAAGGAACCAACCTAGAATACTGGATGGACATGCAAAATATAGAGTTTTTACACTTATAATTAAATTATAAAAAATGTGATTCTAGCACAATTCTTTCTATAACCTGCAATGCTGTTAAAACAAGGGCAATTGTAGTCACAAAAGAAAATAAAGGTTGTTTTGGAAATATCAATTAATTAATTATAAATGATTCCTTAATGGATGTTAAAAATTGAAGGCAGGACGCGTGGCATACGCAGGACCGGGTTGACCTCGTCAACTTGGGAGGGAGGAAATGTTTGCTTGAGTTGGAAGGAAGGAGGAAGCGAAGCATAAAGCAAGAATGATGATGGGAATGCGTGCAATGACGTGTGCTGCAGAGTGAGGGTTGGGACTTGGGAGGCGGAAAGCTCTCAGAAAAGCCGCAGAGATCGCTCAGATGATGCCACGCAACACACCAGCAATTCATCAGTGATCACCCCGCATCCTATCTCTTTCCTATTTTCTCTTTTTAGAAAGGAACGCGTCCCAACCTCATTTCCGAACAGGATCTCTTAACACGTTTTATAAATAACTAATTTACCAATATCTAGGAATGGAAGTAGTAGTAAATATAAAATGAAAATTTTCTTATATAAAAAAATTTTTAGAGTGTTTATGTCGATTTTTAAACGCGCACTCGTGTTTCAATATGACAAGAGTTATCCCATCTCAAACACAAAGATCCATTGAGTTCAGTAGAAAGAATTAATCAGCTCCTCAAAAATCATAACACATATAGCGCATCAATGTATAAATGCTCATTGAAAAAGATACTGATATTTAATACTATCTCCGGTTCTTAATATAAGACATCGTTTGACTTTTATTTAATCCTAAATATATCCCCAGTCCACTTTATCTCTCATATTTATGTATTTTTTCTAAGGTAATCCTTCTAACAATGGTAAGGATATTTCAGGAAAGATAACATCTATTTATGACAAATAGTTAACTTAACTTTTTTCTAATCTATTTAAATTAGTCAACTAACTCTTATAATTAGAATCAGAGGTAATGGATTCTCTCTAATAGAAAAATAACCACTCTTGCAAAAGTGTCAGTGGCTGGATCCTCAAATATTTTTGACTTTCCAAATGCTTGAAACTAAAAAGCGACATCAAACACAATTTAAAATTTGGTCTAAATTAAAAAATTAAAAAAAGTTAGAGCGTCGAATGTGACTTTTAAGACCATTAATAATAGGACTGCTACAAGAGTTTGACCCTGCCAAAAAAATACTAGGAAAAAAGTCACCATTATTTCAAAACTTCACAATTTTGATGTTGTAATGCTGACTATTTAAAACAATAAATATTTTTTTCAAAGCAATACAATCTTTATTATATATTTTTCTTCTAGTAGAATGTTAAGAACTTTTATTTTGAAATGTTTAAATTTTGACCTTTAAATATGATTTTTTTTTTAATATATTTGTGCAGTCATCAATACATACAAGTCATCACAACTCAATTAAGTTTAAAATAAAATCGTCCCACAGGCGAATTTAACCCAAGTTATTGGCTAGTGGCCAAATCATTTTGGTGGATAAAAAAATCAGTTATATATAAAAGGGAGAATTATACAACTAAGACCGACATTAAAGGAACTGAGAAAAGGGAATTCAGTAAAACATCAGTCGTGTGAAAAAGAGTGACTAGAAAAAGAATGAAACAGCATGTTAACCTCCTTTGCTAAGATGTCATTGGAAACAGAATGACCAAGTAGACCGTTGAGCAG